GAATAAACATTTATATGAACATAAGGTATAAACCTATCATTAAAACATATATCAACGAATTTAAGTCTCATTTGATTTTCTAGATATTCATGTATATTGAGAAAGTGCATTAACCTTCACCTCATTTGTGACTTCAGCGGCTTGAATTTCTCCAAGCTTCTGAGATGAGCAAACTGAAGTTTGTGTCATTCAAAAAAACTAACGTTTTCCAATTATAACATTTTTATACCCACATTATTATACCCACAATAATTTCAAGTTGAGTATAAATGATCGATAATTATTTGATGCTTGGGAATGGCATGATATATTTTACAGATGCAATTATTACTTATATACTATATTTTATAGTTTTTGTATTAGTCTATTATTTCTATTTGATCATTGACAATATATTTGGTATTTGCAGTCAACTTTTTACGTATATTCATTGTAATGTGACTTTTTTTCAAATTACAGCTTAAAAACATTGTATCATATTATATACGTACATAAAGCCTAACAATTACGAATATCAAAATTAATTACAGACTCACATAATCGAGGTCAAAATGTGTCAAGGTCAAAATCGAGAATGTACAAATTTCTGTCACATTTGTTTTTGCTTTGGGAAACACAACTTCGACACAGGTAGGTAGAATCATTTCATCTCGTCAGAAATTTAAATACTAAAATTTTTCTATTCTATCTATTATAATATAAAACCCTTTCGTAATCTTCACTAACACTAAACATTATAATTTATTATGAAAAAATATACATTCCGGTCTAGCGTGGCTACGAACCAAGAACGAGACACTGCTGACCACAACAGAAGCTAAGGTAGCGAACTTATTTGTCAAAGTGATGGCGCGGCACTCGTGATGCAACTGCATCGCTCAAAAATGAGAATCTTGCCAACTTTATACAGGAACGTAAACCATTCGATGGAGCCTCGGTAAGGACCAGCAAGCAAGCATGGCGCATACGGAGCGAGAGCAATAGAACTGCATAGCAATGGATGAAAATATTTTGCTGCGGCTTTTAGTAGACGGCGAATGAGGTTAGGAGTCACACGCTTTGACTTTCAGATTCCCAGATTTTAGTAGAGGTGCAGTTCCAGAAGCAGGCATTGTGGCCAGGGTTTCCAAGAAAGTGTAGGCGTGGAAGTAATGATGAGCGAGGACAATTTAAAGTGGTACGTGAACACTCTCGGAGGTCAGGGCAGACTTTTAATTTGGTATTGTTTACTGCAAACAAATATTCTCTGCCTTACACAATAGAATCTGGCAAAGATTTGTAGAAGTTGCCACACGTCAACCACCTGGTCGAGGAAGCCCACCGTTTTATTCAAACAGTAAACTTACTCCATCAGCTGGCTATCAATTCATTGAGCAAATAAAATGATAGTGATGCAACGTATTAGCAACTAATATGCAGAAGATGTAGTATAGTTGTGGAATGTATAGTCCTATGGTTGGTGGAACGCGATGGGGAAAAACCCCTATATACTCTCAGTGCTCGCGGTATCCAGCAGGCGCTTCACTAGGTTTTAGTATCAGGAGGTCCATGCCCCTTGAAAATGTACCCATAAGATGAGCGCGAACGTTCAATTTCACGAACATCTTTAGTACGACGGCACAACAACAAAAACAAGAAGTATTGCATGCTTGCAGCATAAACAATATATTCAGACCACATTATATTGACTCTGTCGCAATATTAAAAAAATTAATGACTTTAAAAAATTAACAAGAAATCGTTATGATACGACGGCACAACAACAAACACAGGAAGTATTTCATGCTTGCGGTATAAACAATATATACAGGCCACATTATATTGACTGTCACAAATTTTACATTAAAATTTTAATAACTGTAAAAAATTAACAAGAAATCGTAGTGGGGGATATAAAAAAAAGGATCCAAATGACGTCGCAGATATGAATGCCAGTTTGCAAGAGTGAATCAATGTTAATGATAGTCCCCATATTAAGTTAATCCAAACTAAAAGATATATTTAAGCGCCAATTATAATCTGTAAATGGACGAAATAAAATCACTGTAATGCAACTTATCAATAATTGGTGGAATGAAAATATTTTTCCTGTACATCGCTCATGCAAATTTCATCTTCATGATATTTTACGTATATTCAATGTGATTAAAAAAATAATTTATATTGCTTATTTCCTCGAATTACTCATGGCAATGAATGATCGCATGATAATTCTGATGCGAATATTAAATTCAAGTGATCGTTCGTTGCAGGCGAAATTACAAAACGTTTCGATATTTGTAAAGATAATAGTAAAGTAGTAAGAATAATTGAAATAGTAAAATGATAGGAGTAGTATAAATAGATGAAACATTTAGAAGACGCATGTATCAGGAGGCATGAAGTATTAAATTGGACTGGCAGGCTTCAGATCAAGATAATAAAATGCGCTGATCACTTCAATTAACGCATTCAGCTATACAGCAACGCATTATTCAGCTATACAGCAACGCATTATTCAGCTATACAGCAATGCATTATTCAGCTATACAGCAACGCATTATTCAATTAAGTCATAGAGAGCCTTCGTCTTCCCTTACATCGCGGCGCCCAAATCCAAAATGTTCATTTTTCCTTACATAATGTGTAGGTACTGTACTGTACATGCATGCCTCGTGTTCCGCGAGTTTCCACGAGAAACAATTTCGTTCTATGAAAAATGATGCGTTGAATTTGATCGCCACAAACTTAAATTTTTCGCACACATAACCATGAGAGAACCTTCATCGTAGAACTTCTCAATTTGCTAGCAAATTCGTTATAAATCCTCCTTAGGTTCCATGAAAATGATTAAATACATGAAATTTCATAGATTATATGTTCTAGACGTTAACCAATTTATGCTTTCATTGTTTAATCGGTTAATTATATCAAATCATTAAAATGATGTTCAAAATATTTCTAGGAATATCAGCCAATATTCGTCAGCGATGAAGTTCAAGTAAAATATCAATTGTAGAACCTGACTCAGTCGCTTCTTAATGGCCTGACTGAGTCGCTTCTTCAAGGCCTGACTGAATCGCTTCTTGGAGGCCTGACTGAGTCGATTCTTGAAGGCTTGACTGAGTCGCTTCTTGAAGGCCTGACTGAGTCGATTCGTGGAGGCTTGACTGAGTCGCTTCTTCAAGGCCTGACTGAGTCGCTTCTTGAAGGCCTGACTGAGTCGATTCGTGGAGGCCTGACTGAGTCGCTTCTTGAAGGCCTGACTGAGTCGATTCTTGAAGGCTTGACTGAGTCGCTTCTTGAAGGCCTGACTGAGTCGCTTCTTGAATGGTAAAGAGCACGATCACCGTAAAGAGCTGTGGTCTATCACGATCTTTTTCCTACAAGGCATGCTACTGCACCGACAATTTTATTATAATTGCTAGTTCCATGACTATGACAAGAAATGGACTATGGAAGAAACATTGTAGCAATTTGAATCTCAGACGACGAGGAGGAATTGAACTGAGAATTAAAAACAGATTTTTTAAATACTTACTTTCACGGAATTTATTTGCGTCTTTTCAATTAAAATGAGATCGAAATGCTCCCGAGTTTTTATCAGGAAGAAAACTTTTTTCAGCAGTCGACACTGTATTTGTTAATTTCATGTTCATCTGCATTCATTAACAGATTTGAAAGACCACGGAACAGAAATCGTGAAATGACCATATATCATAATATTGAAAATATTCTATTTAAAACTTAAATTTAGAGAGATTTTGACTACGACTTCATTATTATATGATTATAGCATCGTCTTAAGCCTTTCGAGCCGAAAGATATTAGGGTTTCTAAAATTGGAAATGCTGATCTTGAAGTTTCATAAAATTGCCTTGTATGTCAGCTTACGAATTTTATTTTATAGCGACGCAAATACGGATTTGCGTTATTGCTTCGGGCGTAATCTCGCGCTAGACTCGAGCGTAGCACGGCTACCTCAAAACATGAATATATAATAGCGCACGCGTGGATATTGCCAGACGCGGCCAAATTTATCCTCACGAGACATGTTTTCGCAGTCACCGCGAATAGCGCCTTCAGTGCCCAAGTCTCCGCGCAGCTACATGCGCTTGTCTGTCCATAAATCTCGCCCGAATTGAAATATATTCTGACGCAAGCTAGATATTTCACTGGTAGTGTTGTGCACCACTGACAACCATTTATTCAATTCAGAGAGAGGTTTCTATTGCAAAAATCATCTGTCATACGAAACACTCTCAGCCGGCTGCCATCCGAAGCCTCTAGTGTGTACGACAATTGCATTGATTTATGCCTTCTTATATGTTTACTTGACTATGTTTAGTTTACATCGATAGCTTCAAGTTTTGTTTAAACGCTGGACAATTCTCGTAATCAATGGGAGATGCATAGAATTTCTGATCACTACTTATAACAGAAAAGGTTTACCATTTTTCATAATATGCAAAATTATTTGGAATAAAATCTTAAATGCCAAACTAGGCAATTATATACCAAAATCAAAATCAACAACAATATTTTAATAATAAGTTTACATATCAATTGAGGAATCACAACAGTTGGAATACTCTTGCAATATTCTCATTTGTTTCGTGAAAGAAAATAAGGACGAAAAATCTGTAACTTTGGATGAGGCTCCCGGTCCATGCAGGGACGACTTGAAGGTCCATCAAGCGTCCTTAGATGACTTCAAAGTTGGGCACGAACTTGTTCTTATCTCAGGATTCAAGTACCGATTGAGCTTCGTTCTTGATCACAAGTTATTGAACGATTTCAAAGCCAAGAAATCTCTTGGGAAATTCTTGTTGAAGTCACTCGTTTGCCTTATATTTTACATCGCTGTCGAAGTGTTCCGCTGGAGGAAAAATTTTGACTGCGGTATTTTATCTCTTAGGTAAGTAATACTCTCCTAATGTATTTTAAGTTTTATATTTTAGGGTTTCCGGCAGCTAGTTTTTAACGAACCAAATATAATTATATTTATTTCCTCAGACGATCTTGAATGTTATTTTAATCAATAGGAGCAAAAGAGGACAGTATAACATTCAAACTGCACATGAGGCTATGCATTAATTTGCTTTGAAGTCAAGTTTGTCGCACGGACCTGAAAAGTGACTTCCAAGAAAGCGTACAATAGATGACAGGTTGACTGGGACGGTAACATCTGCAAGCGTACTCTGTGAATTAATAGAAGAATAAATTTTCGAAGAACCCTCGACCGTCAAGATGCTTCTGAACAGCGCTCTCTCAGGTAAGCAACTTTTTTGGATTACTATTTACTTTCGATAAACTGAAAAATTTTTTATATTGCATGCAAAAATAGTATTATTGTATAGTTTTATGTTTCATATCGGGTGATTGTAGTAGTGAGTAGCAAAAAGTATGAAAATAATTGTAACACTGTCATTAATAGAATAATTGCGAAGCTCGGTTTGGATTATTCAGGTTCAATCCGTGAAAAGGAAACTATCGAGGCAACCATACTCGATTTGACTGATGAGCAAAATACTGTGCCACGCGGTCCTTCAAATGCACGAAGTCACATTTCATGAAAACTTTTTTCTGATAAAGCTGAGGTTGTATGCGTCGCATGCAATGGCATGGGTTTTTTTATCAGAAAATTTAAAAAAAATAGTATTTAACATCTGAATGGAATTGTTATGATAATTGCTGCTTGAAAAATATAAGCGAAAGTAATTTTGCTTTGACATCTTTGTTCTAAATTGGAATAATATTTGCTGCGTATAATAAAATTTTTGTAGACTAGATCAATTGAAAAGAGAGATACATTAATGGAAAATATAGATGTTGACAAAATCAATAAGATTTTTCACTACCTTCTTCTGGGCCACGAGACGATTTAAGTTCTGCGAAGATTAAAAATGGGAAAGAATAATTTTGAATCATTCTGCACTTTTCAAGGTGGAAATTTGTACTAAAACTGGGCATATTAGTTGTTAACAGAATTCCATGCAGGAATTATTTACGTTCCTAACTCAAGGTGGCTTAAATCTCAATACAATTACAATGGTCGCAACAATTTTGTATTTCTATTTTCTGCGATGTTAAAAACTGTAATGTGCTAGTACATTTATAATACAAAATAGAAATTTGTGTTAAAAAACCCAATGCTACTCATAGAATTCTCTTACGAAATTCATTTTCAGCCTTGAATATTTCATCTATCACACAAAAAAAAAAATAAAGAGACAAACGTTGAAGTTGATCGTTGCAACAATCATTTACAACATCAGAACCATTGCCGTGCCCTAAAGTTGATCATTTCCGAACTATTTCCGCGAGTTAAATTTGATGCCAAGAGGTCAAAGTTTTATCCCTATTAAAACTTAAGAGTTAAGGCTTATGGGTTTTCTCTTGTCAAGTCAATAACGCTCTGTGGGGAGAGGCTGACTTATAGTGGGAATGGAAGCGAAATGTGGGAGCCAAACTTCACCGCTCCTTGGTCTTAAGTGCGAGTTGTTGCCACATCGTCGAGAAATACAGACAGAGAATAGGAGTCTTCTAAAAATGCTCACAGCTTCTAGTTAGGGCGCACAAGACCGTCTGCACAGTCGGCTTATTCCTCCAGATGGCGGCCATGAGGATCTACTGCACGGTCTGAGTTATGGAGCTAAAAGACGTAATATAGCAATTACGACACGACTTGGACTGCGACGATAATTCTTCTTGTACTGGATTTTGTTTCGACCCAATTTATTATTAACAATATAGTAGATACAGATTCATTACTTTCAAAACTGTTTTAGTATAATAGTCATAATGACGTTAAATGCAACTCTTTATAATAGAAGTCAAATCAAAGAATTACTGACAGATTCAGTCAGAGAGGGGGAAAATGTTTTCATTTTCTAATTATGCGACATCACGTCTTGAGAGGTTAGTTGACTGCATGGGCTATTATTATTATTATTATTCTACGAAGCATTTACCGCGGCGTCTGGTTCAAACGAACTTCGAGGGCTGTTTTGTAGCAGTTGCGTTTTAACACTGACTAGTGTAAATATAGTGCTTCATCTAGGTTAGTATAATCAATGAACAACATGATGGTGATATGTGAAAATATAGAATCAACGTTAGAGTGATGATTGAAAAACATTAAGAAGTCAATGTTGACAAACAAATTGACCATCAAATAAAGCAGTAGTGGGTATAACGTTCAAATGACCGATGGAATGCAGCGAGTATAGGGATTCTTTAAGGATAAATTATCCAAGGAGACAACTGCTAGCGCAACATGTCTAAGCTCTTGCTTCCCAGCTTCTAATAATAATTGCAACTCCCAATAAACCTGCCGCTTGACTGAGCACAGCATTGCCAGCAGTGATTCATCCGCTACAATCTTTGTAAATTTGTATTAATAGAAAAGTCTTCAATCTTAAAAGGCACGAAACACCAATTGTATATGAAAGTGAAGTGTAACTGGCGCTTTAGGGAAGAAATCTGAAATACAGTGATTTCATTTCTGGATTCGTAGAATGACATCTAACAGTAAGCTCGTTGTTTACAAGTTATAATAGTAACCTCGTTGTTTACAAGTTATAATAGTAACCTCGTTGTTTACAAATTATAATAGTAACCTTAACTCAAGTCGGTACACGTGTTCTCAACGTGTTTCCGTGGCAACCTCGTTAAAAAATGCTCTCCGTGAAGAACTTGCGTGCCGAGTTTCGAATAAATTATTTTCGCAATAGAAATATATTGATGAGCGAAACAAAACAAAGAACGACAAAACTGGTAGTTAAAACTAACAAAAATCTAAGAATGTTAACTGAGGTCCGAAGTGGTGGCAACGTAGGGCAACATGGGGCAGCACCCCCCCCCCCTTTTTTTTTAAACTAAATTTTTGATAAAGTTTTAATTGATACGAGGTGGTTCTTTGTTTTGTTTAAAGGTGCAACTAATGAGGAATGTATGATGTGATTTAGACGCCTATAGAGTTATTCAATTTTTAATGAAACACTATTTTGTAAAAAGTGTCAAAATGTGCAGAGAATTCGTACCCAATCGTGATTTCAGCCAACACCATAAAAACTCATCAACTTTTGGCTCATTGGTGTTGACTGAAATCAACTTTTGGCAAGGCAAGAGTCAATAACTCGATTAGGGGTCAGAAATACGCATAACTAGAAACTAAACCTGCTGCCTTGAGGCGGAAAATCAAAAAATCATGCAATATGAAGTGTAATTTGTGATTCAAAAAGCTAGTCATAGTTTGAAAAGGTCATTGAGACAAATCTAAAGATGTATAACACAAGACTTCACCATGGGCGCTTTGCCCCGTGACACGCGTGGGCCCGTTGCCCCAATAGTTGATTAAACTAATCGCATGTTTTATTGCGCAGGAATAGGAAAATAGATTACAATAGAACATTCCGTAAGCGATGCATCTGCATGCAGGTGCAGAGTTTATTTACACTAATGCTTGCACTTTAACTCCAAGGCAAGTTAGCATGACGTAGCACGCTGCTGCGGATCTAGATAAACAGGCCATTTTAATTATTTCAGACCTAATATTACGTTTTCCCTCCTTCTTCTTCGCTTCATAAAGAAATCCTGAATATACATCAGAAATATTTCAATTAGATCCCGCACTCCCTGATTAATTTGTTATTAACTTTGTAATTGTATCACTAGAATATGAAACGAGACCCAACACCAGGAGCCACGATTATAAACTGAAAACCTGCGGTGCAACTCAGCTACGCGACAATTCGCTTCGTGTCACCGACATGTAGAACAGACTCCCTGTAAAAGCTCTTGAGGCCTCGAGTATTAACGCACTTTCAAGAGCAGACTTGACTTAGCTCTGTAGAGGTAATTATATAGACATTAATTGATCATTAATGCATTTCACAAGGTCAAAGCTACTACAGAACAACCAATAATAAAAATATAAATGGAAACACAATTTTCGCTACAGCCATGCAACTTGAATGGAACTACAGTCACTCCGCTCAATAAAATAATAGGCGAATAGAATCACGTCAAATTCTAATTTAATGTTTTGGATTCAAATTCAAATGATTAACGTAATAATCACTTTTCTTCATCCTAATGTAAAATTTTCTTAAAGTTTTCCATTTCGAGAATTTTCTGGATCTTTACGGTTGTGTTCCCAATCACTAGAAGTCAAACTTTCAGAAAATTTCCTACTTATCATTTCAATAATTCGCAAATGCGTTTTTACCCTGAAATTTTCCGGGAAAGTTGTTACCGTACTTTCCGTTGAGTTTCATTTCACACACACTTTGGACTCGACGTAATACAGGCCTTGGAAGTGGTGAACCGCGCCATATGCCTGTACGCACCGTGCGTGTGGCGCACTTGTATGGCGAGCACGGGAGATTGAAGAGCAGCAGCACCGCCTAGCACTAACTTCGTAAGAGGGCTCGGCAGAGTCACTTAGTGGCGTTGCCTGCATAACGCAACAAATTATGAGTGTTGATCCTCTTTGCGATTGCTTGCTGCCTTGAGGGAAGCACTTCGCTGCGATCAGCCCCTCCCCAAAGAGTGTGTAGGGGGAAGAGTGAAGAGGGAGATATGTTGAAATATCAATATTCGCCAAGGTGTTTCATTGCGAAATAGATGATGCTGTATAGAGTACGACTTAAATTTGTGCAATATATTTTAGTATGGCAAAAGAAAATTCATATCGTTCGAAAAATTATATGTTCATTGAAAAACGTGGTGAGCCACCTGAAAAATCATTAATGAAAAATTGTAATCGAATTTTAAAAGTAATACCGATTTAATCCCTGGTGGCCCACACATACACTGTTTAGTAGTTGCAGAGCTTTTAATAACGATTCGGGATATTCAGTGAGCTTTATATCAAATCATGCACGTTTCCATTGTGACCCACTTCTCATCACGATGAGTCATTTTCAGAAACAGATTTTATCTTCGTTAAAAATTCTCATAGCTGCCGTTTCCTGGTAAATGCACAGAAAGTTTCCCAGTTAAATTAAACAAGTTCATGGAAGATTATCTCTGGCACTTGGTTTCTCAGAAGAAAGTTTCCTCCGTTTCTTTGTGCTGCCACGACGCTGAGCTGACGATTAGATGGCACAATAGCCGCTCGCTGAGGCAAAGTTTGGGCATGGAGCTCATCACCGCCATATTGTGATGCCTTGAGAAGGTCTGATACGTCACTCACCCGCTTGTTTAACAGCAAAGACACATGAGCCAAAAATGGTATTATTGAAGCATAAAGACGTGCGATGTATCCTG